AGCCTCCTCTCCTACCTTCTTTTCATTGGCATTCATTATAGCCCATGCTATTAACCTTTTTAGTGAAAACTGAAACAAAATATGCATTTAGCACTTTAGCCATTTCCACATTTTCTGTTGTTTCCCCACCCTCATTGAATAATAGACCTATTCTATCCTTGGTCTCTTTTTAGGACTTTTTTTGAGTTTCAGATCATTGAAGATCTCCTAATTAAACCAGGGTGGTCTCTTGCCATACTTTCTATCTTTCTTACATAGTGGAATAGTTTGTTTCTGGGCTTGAAAAGTACTCACTCTCTGTTTTCCCCTTAAACTTGATTCCCATGGGATCTTACCTACCAGCTCTCTGAAACGTATGCCTCCCTGGAATCCATTATATTTATTCTGCCATTTTCTCTTACCATTTCTTAAAAACATGACCTCTGTCATTTTATGATCACTTTCACCCAAGCTGCCTTCCACTTTCAAATTCTGAAACATGTCGAACATGTGGTTATGTGTGGATTCTGGAGGCTCATGCAAGTTCAGCCTTTCATGCCTTTTCTACATTTTTTGAGAATAAATCCTAAGAAAAAAATAATTGAAAATTTATTTTTTGTGTGTGTTTTTCATGTTCATATTATAACTGAGTCATGAGTGAGATGTATAGGGGAAGGCTTCAGGAAATGTTCCCCTTTTATGCCTCATACAAAGACCAAATGCAACCGCAGTCTATGGAACATAGGGTGTGTCTAGACTACAGAGTTTTGTCGACAAAAGTGGACTTTTGTCGACAAAACTATACCTACGTCTACACTACGGCTGAGTTCTGTCGACATAATGTCGACAGAACTCAGCAGTTTTGTCGACGCTGGTAAACCTCATTTTACGAGGCATAACGACTTCTGTCGACAGAGTTCTGTCGACAGAAGGTGTTATTGCATGTAAACTGTCCTTGCGTCTACACTGCCATGTCGACAAAGCAGCTTGCTTTGTCGACAGAACTGAATGTAGTGTAGACGCTCTTTGTCGACAGAAGCTTTGTCTAGACGTACCCATAGACACCACTCTCCTGGTTCACTTCTGTAGGTGTACTTTGTCCACTGGGGGCATCATCAGCAAAAATCATTTAAAAAACAGTTAAGTCCTCCTAAACCTGTAAAGTTTTCCCTTTTTGCACCTTCTTTATAACTTTAATACTTACAGGTAAAATGATTAGAAGTGGATTAGCACTGTCAGCAGTTTTACTGTTAGAAACTTCATCAGAAAAGCAGTGTGAGGAACCATCAACTTCCTCAAACTTCCTCTTTAAAATTCCAATCATAGCTGCAACACTATCACAGGTATCTGTAACAGGAATAGGAGCAATGAAGCAGTGAAATAGTGGACCACTGACTATGTGATCAAAGTCACCAATGTAATTTTATGCAAGTTTTTATACGCAACACGGCTACATACAGCTGAATGACTGCATAGTGGGATTTGTTAAACTGACCAGAAGAGATTTTTTTAAAATGTATTATCTCTGACATCATTACATAAAATTCTGTGCCATCTTTTAATAAACTCTTTTTAAGTTAAACTCTTGCACAGGAAAAGATCATGCATAATTCTTAAAACATAAAGGGACAAATTCAGAGGTGGAGTAAAATGATATAACTCAGCAAAAGTCAATGTCTGTGTATGTACCCTTTTACACCAGGTATGATTAAGAGAATTTTTTAAAGAGAATCCTAAGGTTTTTATATTTTTTAAAAGCAAAATATTTAGTATCTTGCTTACTCTTTTATTTATAAATATGCCTTAAAATGGAATTCATATTTACTAATCACAATCATACAATGACCACTATTGATGTGGATCAAAAATGATTTCCCAGAAGTAATTAATTTCAGTGTTGCAGATGTGTTTACCTTGTTCCTACACTGATCAGTGGAAAATGTAAATAGCAGATAAAAAGTAGTACCTTAAATGCTTTCAAAGAAGGGGAAAAATTGACATTTGAATGCCACTTGTTCTGCGTGTAGAAGTTGCCAGTTACAACTAATTTATAACCCATCTGATATGTCTTGCTATTAAAATTCCCTTGTAAAGTTAATTCCCCCTTTGCAAGATGGAGATTTTACATCTACGGGCATATTTGATTTTGGAAATTCTTTTTAGTCTTGGTCTGGAATCAATATAATGCTAAAAAACAAGGGATTTCCTAAACTGAGTCTCATGGCAGAAGTGTTTTGTATATTGGCTTTACAATATACAGATCTCAGTAAAGATGGACTCACAAATTATATGTGAATTATATACATATGGACCTACTTCTCATAGTTCTCCTTCTCCCTTTGCTGTTTATGAAAGGTCTGTTTTCTCCAAAGGGATTTCTCCAGGCTGGACATAGATCCCAAACATGACCCACCCTTGTTAAAAATCAAGATCTAATTCCTCTCTATTTTAGGAACAGGCTAGCAAAGACTGCAGAGAAAACATTTTATGCTCATACCCTGGGGATATTGTATGCTTATACCCTGGGCACCATTTTACAGTGACCACTGCAGAAGATTTAAGAGAAATACAGGAGGTCTCAGAGTCAGTAATTAAAACAATGAGGAGTAAAAAAACAGAAAAGAGGGACTTGGGGAGGCACACACAAGATCTTCTCCACCCTATTTCCCCTCCCCCAAATGTCTCCCTTGCAAACCATCTTTTCCCACTGCCTCCTGCAGTGCTTACAGCACTGAATTTGTGAAATCACAATTATTTCCATAGCAACAGACTGCAATATCAAACCCGAAGGATTATGGCTGTATGAGAGGGTAAAAAGGAGCAGCTGGAGTGTGTGAGAGAAAACACTCACATTCAACTATCTCTAACAGATAAGAATGCTGAGAAAAACAATATACTTTGTCAGCCTATTCTTTCAACTAGTCATGGGTGAAACCAATACCTCAGAACCAATCATGAACCAAAATGAGAGTAGAAGAGGCTTCAAAATCCAAACCAAAAATCAGATCTCTATCATAATCAAAAGGGATGAGATAAACCAAAACCCCTCCTCTAAATATCCATAAATTGTGGGGTATTAGAAGCCTCAGATCTGAATTTCATACAGCCCAGGATTATCTTCAGATAAATACCCATTTGTCAAACATGCCCTACTACAAATTATACTGCTGCTAGATGACTAATACAGACATCGTACACATCAATGGAACTGTTCCAGTTGGTGAAGAGTAGGGGAATCTGGGATGTTCACAAATGTTAACAGAAGTAAGTATTTTTCACTGAAAAGTTTTTTCTAATTTCTCCGCTTTCACTTGAACTGAATGCCTTCATGGGAGCAGAGCCATTCCAAAGAATGGATACAGTCATTCCAACTTGCACTGAAACTAGTTCTGCTCAGTTAGGTTCTAGAGAACATTTGAACAATGATCTACAAGTTAGATCCATATTCCTCCGGTTGAAAGCCAACAAGGTGGTGTTGATGCCTTTATTTAAGTGGATTGTCAATACCTCTTGTAAGTAAGGCAGGATGTCAGCTTCTATGGAAGTGACAGCTGTTCATTGTTTTGTCCTTAATCTCTCTTTTCTTGGGAAAGTTATTGAAAAAGTTCTTGTAGCTATGCAATCAAGACGGTAGTAGAAAAGCTACATGGATACTGTATATGATGAATGTTATACTTGCTGTTGGTGGTGGTAGTGAATAAAGATCAGGGCCCCTGAGCTCCCCTGACTATGAGCTGATGCTAACATGACTATGCATATTAATAGGGAGAGGTAGTATCACTTTTAAGAATTTCCACTTCTTTCAATGAGAGCATGGAGGATAATTTTGAGAAATCTTACAAATATTTCTGAAAGTTTGTTTGTTTGTCCTGAAAGATTTCTGCAACGGTAAGAGCTAGAAACACCAAATTTTGTACAGATACAATGGATTTCCTAACTTAAATAACTAGATTGGTTATATCTCAAAATTGGATCCCCTGGTTCCTCCAGAGCCCCAATTGGGCCCACTGATAATTCCTAAAGATCTCTGAAACGGTAAGAGCTAGAAACACCAAATTTTGCACTGATACTCCTGATTTCCTTACTTCAATCACTGGATTGGATATATCTCAAAATCAGTTCCACCAGAGCCCCAATTGGGCCCTCAGAGCCCCAACTGGGCCACTAATTAGCTTTTAGTAGAGCCTCATCATAGGCATTTGCTGGACTCTTCTGTTAAGCATACCACATAAACTGCAACTACGAGATCCTTTCCCTATGATAACAGACAAACTACCAGCTATGTTAATTTCTTACAGTAATATATAAGAGAAAAGTATTTCCAATAAAATATGCTACATTAATGTCATTGAGGTAGTTCATTCATCACACCTTTTACTATATTTTCCCCAGGCAACGCCGGGTATTTCTGCTAGTTGCTCTGAATATTTCATCTTGTTTGGGCTTCCTCCAGATTCCATTATCTCATTACTCCCATAGAATGTGGGAGAGTTGCTGGTGAGTAGTGAGAAGATAGTTGCTGTGGTGTTGTTCTTGAGTGCTGATGACAAAACTCAGTATTTCCATTTCACCTTAGTCAGTATGACTGAGTGACATGTCTACTGCTTAACAAAGTAGGCACAAAAAGGGTTAGGGCTCAGTATGAATAAGAGTAAGGTAATGTTTGGTGGCTAAGAGAAGAATCTAGAAGAACTGGGATATTTCAACTTCCTTTATTGGTAATGTAGATCTATCTGGCTTTTGTAATACGGATTCATAGATTTAGGAATCTTAAATGATTCTCATCTGTGTTTTGAATAGCTAAGCAACAGAAATTGTCAATAATACTTTTTGATGTCCAGGTACAAGCATGTCTGATCCTCACTGTTACCTGGAAAGTTCAAGTTCCACATGCGGAACACACTGGAAAGCGTGAGTAGCAAACAGATGCTATCTACTACGCAAGAGCTCAGATAAAGTAGTAGATTAAATGGTTCACACATAATAGGTACTGAAAAGAAGGATTCTTTTGAATATGCCATTTAGGGACAACAGAATAATCATTTAAACAGTCAACTGATAAGCATGAACTTTGGTTACCATTAGTGGTTAGATGCCATCTCCCATCCCCAATCCCAGAGAGCCAGCTGCCATCCCACAGTGCTCAGAACCTGCAGTCTGGGTGGCAGCTGACTCCCTGGGAGTGGGGCCAGGAGCGGGCCGAGGAACAGAGCCAGAAGCTGCTATGCACTGGAAGCTGGCTTAAAAGCTAGTTCCGGGGAGCTGGCTGCCACCCAATGCTGCTGCATGAGAGGCAGCAGCACGGGGCAAGAGCCAGCTCCCTGGGAGTGGGATCGGCAGGCGTGAGTCTGCTGCTGCCCTGCGCTGCGGGTTCTGCAGCATAAAACTTATACTGCAGAGTTGACTGTTGGGCTCACTCAAAGGGAGCTGGCTGCACCACGGGCTCTGCAGTAGAAGCATTATAAGTATAAGTACAAGCCTGCAGCGTGTAACCACTAAGATTTTCAGCAGTTACACAATTACTTAATTAACCACTTTTTAACATCCCTAGTGCCACCCCAGAATTCCCCATATTCTAGAAGGGTATGTCTACACTACAAAGTTAATTCAAAATAACAGCTGTTCTTTCGAATTAACTTTAATAGCGTCTATACATGCAAACCGCTATTTCGAATTTAATTCGAAATAGCAGAGTGCTTATTTCGAATTTGGTAAACCTCATTCTACGAGGAGTAACACCAAATTTGAAATAGCTATTTCGAATTAAGTGCTGTGTAGACACTTAATTCAAAATAGGGGGCCTCCAGCCCTTCCCAGGGAGCCCTGGTGGCCACTCTGGGCACAACCAGGAAAACTCATCTGCTCCCCACCCAGCTCTGGAGCCCTTAAAGGGGCAGACTCTGGCCACAGTGCCAGTGCCAATTGCAAGCCTGCCAGTGCACAGCCAGCAGACTGTGCACCTGGCACAGCATGAGCCAGCAACCGGCTGCCACCCAGCCCTCCCCTGCTCCCAAGGAGCAGGCTGGCAGTGCCAGGGGCCGCAAAAGGTGGGTGCCTTCCTGGTCTAGTGCGGAGATCGTGGGCTTCATTGAGGTTTGGGGAGAGGCCTCCAATGCCCATGATCTCCGCACTAGGTGCAGGACTGTGGCCATCTACAGCCACATGGCTGCCAGCCTGGCCACATGCACAGCCAGGAGGAGGTGTGGACTAAAATAAAAGAGTGCGGCAGGCTTATGCCAGGGGCTCCCAACTAAGGGTTGACCCAGACACCTGCCCGCACTACGAGGCCCTGGACCGCATCCTGGGGGGTCAGACGGTCTGTGCCCCCCTGGTGGTCATTGACCCCGGGGCAGAGGGCCCTCCCCCTGACACAGGGGAAGAGGAGGAGGACGGCAGCCAGGAGCCGCAGGAGCCTGCAGGGTGCATGCTCTGCACCCAGAACCCCCGAGCCATAACAGAGAGCCTGTCAGCAGTCTCATCTGAGGCCAGGGAGGCCTCCACATGTGAGTGCCATCATGGTCCCCTTATGCGGGGCGGGGGGAAGTGGGAGCCCAGGGACCATGCGCGTGGGCCTTGCCGACCACGGAGCAGGCAGCAACCTGTGCATCTGCCATGCCAGCCGGGACATGTGACCCCAGCTGGGTGCCATGCAGGGGCCCTGGCCTGTTCCCCACACGCATCTACACGTGAAGGCACATGACAGGCTCCTGACCCCGTCCTGGCCAGCCAGGCGGTCAGCCTCTGCCATCCAGGCTGGCAGGAAAGCCTCCCCCTTTCTCTCACATAAATTGTGGAGCACACAGTACGCTGCTACCACATGCAGAATATTGTGCTTGGAGAGGTCGAGGTGGGTGAAGAGGCATCTAACTCGGGCCTTCAGTCAGCCGAAGGACCCCTCGACCACAATGCAGGCACTGCTGAGCCTGGCATTGAAGGCCTGCCCAGAGAGGTTCAGGTGTCCCATGTAGGGCTTCAACAGCCAGGGCTGTAGGGGGTAAGACGCATGCCCCAGCAGGCACACTGGCATGTCCATGTCCCCGACCCTGATGTGGCACTTGGGGAAGAAAGTCTCTGCGTGCAGACTCTGGCACATGGAGGAGTTGCGGTACACCCGTGAGTTGTGTGCCTTGCCGGACCAGCCCACATTGATGTCCGTGAACTGGCCCCGGTGGTCAGACATGGCCTGCAGGATCACGGAGAAGTACCCCTTGCAGTTGATGTACAGGGAGGCTTGCTGTTCCGGGGCATGGATTGGAATGTGCGTCCCATTGATTGCCCCCCCCCCCCCCCCCACCCCCACGGGGCCCCCCCCCCCCCCCCGCAGTTAGGGAAGCCCAGGGCGCCAAACCCCTGGATGACCACGTCCAGGTCGGTGAGGCGGATGACTTTGCAGAGCAGCACCCTGTTGATGGCCTTGACCACCTGCAGAGAGAAACACAAAGCCGAGGGTCACTGGGGTGCCCAGGTGGCTGGGAGTGTTAGTTCCCTGCCACTGCCCTGTACCCCACTCCCAGGAGCAACCCCCGTTGCAATCCTGGCCACTGCGGGCAGTCTGTAGTGCGGCTGGGACAGATGAAACCCTCCCAGGGAGGGCACTTATACCACCTCCCCCCCTTTTTCCTGGGGAAGGCCATCTCCTCCTTGCAGC